TCGGAATTCCCTATGCTAACCTTCGTCATTCTTCGGAGAAGCGTGGTACTCATTAAAAACTTGCAAGGAACTTTGTGCAAATTTTTTATGCAGTTGCTGATGACGATGAAAGAAGAATTATTCCTGGAGTGCGTATGCGCCCTTTTTTAATAGGTTATCAACAACAAGCTTTTGTAATAGACTGAAGAACTGGACGACCCGCTCACTACGCACCATGTTCCTTGGCTGTACTGACACGCCTTATCACTCGCACTAACGCGATTCCTTTCCCGACGGCGAGCCCACCTAAGACAAGTTCGCAACGGAGTTTCAAGCACCGGCGTGGCTATGCGGTATAATGCTGGGTTGGCACGTATTGTTCCTGGGTACGAGTCCTGCTGTGTCCTTGGTATTTACAGCAAAGACTGTTTTGTGTTCACAGCACGGTTCATGTGTGACGCTATATATGTCCGCCGCTGCCACCGGTGTCCATACCCACTATCGCACGAAATAGGAAAAGAAATCTGTAACTAAAGAACACAAAGTACACAATGAGACCATCGCATCAAACGGGGTATGGATGCAAACATGCGTTGAAACTGCACGAATGCCTGCAACACATATTGTCGGCACATCGCAGAGTCGGTACACACCGTATTCCCTGCCCGAATTCTTCATAACGCCATCAAGAACACGGTCATTTATGAACACATCGTCCAAAGCACAGCCCTCTGGCGCTTGTGGCTTGGAGTGTCACTCACGAACAGCTTTACCGAATTGGAATGACAGATAAAGTTGCGTGTGATCACCGTGGCAACGTCTAAAGCATTGCAAACGTCCCTTGTGAGTGTCCTTATCACAGGTCCCAAAGACAACAGCTTTCAGCAACGCTAGCACGCTTGGACTACCAACAGCTCTTCAGGCAGGCGAATTTGAAGGGCCGGAATGTCGTTAGGTGCGGCACTCGGGCCGACAAGCGGAGAGGAATTGCGGGTATTGCGAACGAGTCCCTTAAGGGCTGTTAGCTTGCGGAATGCTGTTTCAGCCTAGGCATTGACATTCCAAGACGGAAAGTAAGGTGTCATATAGTGCGGCATTGTAATGGGCCACAATGGGTTTTGGTCGGGACAACTTTCTTGAAAGGAACAGCTGCGTCGTTTTGGTACCTTTGATGCTTCGGCCCGACCGTGAGACCGATCACCCCGACGACCTTGCCACACCAGCCAGGGGGACACCATGGTGCCACAGTAAAAGTGTTGCGACTCCGCCCCCAGCCAAGAACGCTGACGTGGGCGAGTTCGGGTGCCCCGTCGAAAGTGGTGTCTTGGGATTGGACAGTGTTATTTGGTGCCCTTTCCCTGATCCACAGATCTTGCAAAAAAGGAGACTGTTTACAATTAGCCATCGCGGGCTGCTTCGTGTGCCTTTCCGGGGCTGTGCTTTTTTGATGCAGTGGCTTTTCATGCTGATGCTTTTCGATCTAGAGCCTTCGACGATATTGCCATTTTCTAGGACGGCATCTTTGTCTAGATGTTTGTCATGTGGCGAGAAACTCGCTTGCAAATATGTAAAATAAACCTCTGTAAATAAACCCGAAGAATGCGCTTTTTTCTCCGCAAAATGGGCTGAACCACTCCGGTGGCGATGGTCAGCTACCCACAATGAGACTAGCTGGACGCGAGCCGCAAAGACTGGTGGCAGCCCATGTAGAATGCTGTCATACCCCAGTCCTAACAACGTTCGAGCTTCCATCCAGACATCTATGAAGGAACTGCTGAAGTTTTTGCGGTCAACCGGACTCGCAAATTAAACAAATCTAAGACTTCCGCGCTTGAGTCTGCACGTGTCTTCTTTTTTTATTTTTCCCCCCTCTTTATCTTTTTTATTTGCGTTACCCGTTCTTCAGTACAAAGTAGGAAACGGGAAATTTTTTTTCTGGTCAACCTTCCTAACTTAAACATTCTCTCTTTATATATATATATAAATATGTATATATATATAAATAAATAAATAAATAAATAAATAAATAAATTAATAAATAATAAGTGAATATATATATATATATATATATATATATATATATATATATATATATATATATATATATATATATATATATATATATATATATATATATATATATATATATATATATATATATATATATATATATAATATATATATATATAATGGGATTATGAATATATATATATATATATATATATATATATACTTTTTACGGATACTGTCAGCTCTTACATAGGGCTATTACAGGAGTGGAAAAAAAAGTACATGAAAACATAGTGATCCATCTAAGAACAGAACAAATATAATCAGAAGTAATAAATTAGAAAACAAGAATGAAGTTAAACAAACGCAACCAAAACACAACCAAGAAATTATTCATTGAATGCACTATAGCATGCAGAGACAAATAAAGCATTATTAATTGCAATCGAGGATATGTGTTAAGTGCTTGAAAAATATACCTATGGATGAGCTTGGAACGGCTTCATCGCTGGACAAGTTCTATTCATTGACAGCTCTTGGGAAAAAGCTATACATAAAACAATCGGTGGAAACAGCAGGTGCAGGAATAAACATTTAATGACGATGTCTAGAAGTTTCAGTACGTAAAATCTCGAAATATTGAGCATACCTTATATGAACATGGTCATTATTAATGAGGTAAAGATACTTAAGTCTTTCATGTTTTGTCCTAGCTTTAATTGTGGGAAGCTCCGTTAGTACACACATTTCAGATGGGGATTTGGTCAACCGATATTTATTAGATACAAACCAGACTGCTAAACACTGAATGTTTTAAATTTTTTCATGTTTCTAACTGTAAATGAACCCTAGACAATTTTTGCGTATTCAATTATTAGTCAAATAAGCGCTTTATACACCAAACATTTAGTTTCTCGTGTAGCAAATGGCAATGGCGCCTAAGACTCAATAGCACCCTAGAGGCTTTTATGTGCGTACACATAATCTATGTGCTTATTAATAATTCAAGCGAACATCACTTGTAAAATTCAAACCAAGGTACTTATGTTTTTCAACTTTGTTTAGTTTATGATAATCAATATAGTAAGTATGTTTTCAGAAATTTTTTTCCTAGTGACTGTCATAACTATTGTTTTGAGGGGTCTAGCATCATTTGCCATTCATCACACCATTTTTATTTCCTGTAAATTTTGAGTAATTTTTTGGTCACCTATTTTGTCGACTTTATTGTATATGATGTAGTCTTCTGCAAATACCCTAATATATACGCCAATTTCATTCGGAAGGTCATTTAAAAATAAAAGATACAAAAGTGGGTCCAGGACACTGCCTTGGGGTACTCCCTACTTAACAGCTGAAAGAGGAGACTTTGTGCCATTGATTCCCACAAATCGCTCACGAGAATGAGAATAGGATTAAAACTAGTTTGTGATGGTAAGGTTTTGGAACGGAACATCAATTTTTCTAAGTAATTTACTGTGAGACACTTTATCGAAAGTTTTCGCGAAGTCCATGAAAATCATATTCGTTTGAGCATGTGAGTTAATATTTTTCGAAAAGTCTTAGACTAATTCGATGAGCTGGGATGTTGTCGACAAACCCTGTGAAAACCTATGGTGGCAGTTGGATAAAATGTTATGCTCCCTCATATAGTTTAATAGATGTTTCCAATTGATATGTTCAAGCAATTTTGAGCAAGTACTGAGAATTGAAACAGGCCAATAATTTGCTACATTGTCAGATCTACCGCTTTTAGAAATAGGGATTACTTCAGCTATTTTTAACTTTTTTGGTAAAGAACCACGGAGAAAGGAAGACCTAAAAATTAATGCGAGATATTTGCCATTCAATGGAGCATATATGTACAAAAATTCATTAGGGATAGCATTGAGCTCAGGGCTTTTTTTTTAGTTCAAATTGAGCAAGAGGCTGAAGGCACCCTGTTAGGTAATTACTAAGTAAGTTATTGGTAACCTGTCGAGTGGTGAAATAGTTTTCGGCAAAATGCCATTATCATCAGTAAACAATGAAGCAAAGTATTAATCAAAACTCGCAGCGGTGGGGAACTGCGCAGCCTGAGTCATTGAGCGAGCTTTCGTTGATGGGTTAACATATCTCCCAAAATTTATCAGGTGCCTTCCTTAAGAATCTTTGGAGTGTGATGCCAAAAAACTTTTGTTCAGATTTTTTAAAAAGTACTTTAAGATCCTTTTCAAGATTTCGAATGACTGATTGGTTTTGTACAGTAGAAATAATGCTATTGTTCTTAAGTATTCGTTTCAGTTGCCTTTTTTGCGAGAATTATTTCCTTGTTATCCAAGGAGTTCTTTCACTAGTTTTCTTAAGTCGCTTTGGCATAAAGCGTTCAATACAAGACATTACCATAATGAAAAAAATATTTCTATAGATAATCTGGGCTCTAATTATGCCTAAAGTGCTAGCAGAAACACTCATTATAAGCTTTTAACAATTGCAGTACTCCAACACCATCTTATCTAACAAAGTTAAAAGACAGCAGTCAATCTTGAATACTTGGTGATTACTTACTTGAATATATATATATAAATAAATAAATAAATAAATAAATAATATATATATATATATATATATATATATTTATTTATTTATTTATATATATATATATATATATATATATATATATATATATATATATATATATATATATATATATATATATATATATTGTGTTATTCGAAAGGCGCAAGTTCGGTGCCTGCCCACGGCAAGTTATCTTCTCACCCATTTTTTTTCCTTCTCATTTACATTACCATTCGGTCTAATAGCTTCCCCTGTACATTCCTTGGTATTATTGTCTGTTAGATCTCATATATATATATATATATATATAGTGTTTGTTACCATTAGTTAGTTAAGGAATGCACTATTTAGTTGTGTACTGCACCTTTCAAGAAAGCATGTAGATGGTGCACGTTCATTTTGCGTTCATGTATTAAAGAGTATTATTTGAACACATTATTTCTTCTTTACAGGCAGGTACTATAGGAAGATACCTCGGTGAAATTAAGACGCCATGATAAAGACGGGGACGCTCCTTGTATTTCTTCTGGCTTTCGCCTACGGACATATATTTACATGTAAGCTGCTTTTTTAACTACTCTTCACTACTAGGGAGATATTCTAGACGTGCTCATGTAATTACATTTCCATTTTGGTCGCCACCGTATGGTTGGAGCTCGGTGATGCAGCGGTGAGGTGTCAAAAGCTTTCTGAAAGTCTAAAAAGAGTGCGTCTACGAGTATATATAACATCAATGCTAGAGCTAACGTCGTTAGGAAACGGACCTAGTTTAGTGTCACATGAAGTGTCTTTATGAAAGCCATGTTGGTTTTTATGAAAAAAAATGAAGAGGTGCGAGAAAGTTGACTATGTGGGAATGGATTACGTGTTCCATTATTTTAGAGCATACACTTGTGAGCGAAATGTGGCGATAATATTTTGGGTGAGTACGAGTTACTTTTCTTTGGGATTAGAATGACCTTGCCTACCTTCCTGTCTTGGGGTACCATTCCAGATGAATGTGATTGCTGACAAATGTTAGAGAAATTCACACTTGTTACAAGTTTAGTGTTCTTCAACATTTTTGTGTTAATGCTATCTATACCCATTGATGAAGTGAGTTTTATTGAGTCGATTATTTTGGAAATACCATTGACATGAAATATGATTTTCAACGTGGTCGGGTGGCATACAGAAAGGGCAACGGGAAGGTGACTGCCCGGTTCCAACGTGAATACAGAGCAGAAAGTTTCACTTAATACTTGCACAGTATAGTGTTCAGGAATCCAAACATTTTGTTAATCTCATAGTGTAAGATTCGATGAAGGGGCAATAGATGATTGGTTAATTGTTTTCCAAAACTGCTTACAATTTTTCCGGAGTGTATGGGGTATGGCTGAAAAATAGCAAGAACTCTTGGCTTTAGCTGCGAGAAAATCAAAAGGCTTTTCGGTGTCCTCGCATTTTTCCCACTTGTACTTGGTGTCCCAATGCTTAGCGGAGTGAAACTGGCGCTTCGTTTTGTTTTTAGGACGTTTTATTTAGCCGTTCAACCATGGGGTTGTTGATCTTATGGTTGAGGTGGTAGTAGGAACATAATATTTTATAAGGTGCTGAAGTTGGGTTTTAAATATTGTCACGGGGTCGTGACGTGGCCGAAGACAGGAGACTTCGTGTTGGGATTTAACTGTTTATTTGGGCGAACCTGTGCCCGGTAAACGGAAAGTCCAATTACAGCAGCAGTCTTGCACAGATAGCAGTCTCGGACTGATAGCGGCGAACGGAGCGTCGGCCTTCGATCAACAACTGACAAGCGGCCAAGCGCGTCGACATTTATACTCTTGCCATCGAATGTTCTAGCGTTATCGCTGGCGGCGGCGTAGGTTCCAGAACAATATGTACCGTTCGCACAGTGGGCGTGATCTTATCGAAATAATCTACTACAGTCCGGAACCTTCTCGAAAACTGCAAATGCGGTTTGCGCTGAGAATCGTGTGGTGTTTTGGGACGATAACAAAAACTTGGGAAATGGAACGTGGCAATATGTGCAAGTTTGTTTCGAAAGTGCGCATAAAAATTAATTAGAAGTAATTCAGAGAAAGGTGCTAGTTCATCCTTTAGAGCTGCGTAAGTGCCCTTACCGTATAATGTTATTTTTTGCTTTATTTTTTGAGATTAGGTATGTAGCACTGAAAGATTCTGTGAAGAACAGAGGTATCGCTAATGAGAGATAAATGTGACACGGTATGGAAATTATCGGGATGAGACGTAAACAATAGGTATAGAATGGTGGATGAGTGTTCTGTTTGTCGAGTAGGTTTAGAGATAAGTTGCGATAGGCCGAATGTTACACAAGAGTTTAGGAATTCATTTTCAGTGTTGTGTTTTCATGCAGTTAGCGCTAAATTTGACCATGTTATTCCGGGGAAAGCCCCGCCGCGGTGGTCTAGTGGCTAAGGTACTCGGCTGCTGACCCGCAGGTCGCGGGATCGAATCCCGGCTGTGGCGGTTGCATTTGCGATGGAGGCGAAAGTGTTGTAGGCTCGTGTGCTCAGATTTGGGTGCACGTTAAGGAACTCCAGGTGGTCGAAATTTTCGGAGCCCTCTACTAAGGCGTCTCTCATAATCTTATAGTGGTTTTGATACGTTAAATACACACATATCAATCAATCAAGTTGAAGATGACAGCAGTCAGAGTGTTCAAGACTAAATCTTTTCTACCGGTGAACCTGTACTGGGAACTGAAAGGACAACGTGCAAGCAATTAACGTGGTAAAGTGACTGCGCTGGGAACAGTAGGCAGCCGTCGAGTCACGGCTGCTCGATGAAAACACCCGAGCCGTGGTCGAGTACCATAATCTACGATGACGTGTGTCGGTATTTGTGCATATGGCATGGGACACTCGAACTTTGTTCCTGGTTCTTATGTAAACTCTAGAACAAACTTGGCTTTTAGTGTCCTGCGCATGATCTTCCCCGAATCATCCTGAACAATAGCAAAGCTTCGATGGTATTTCAGCGGCGTCTGCACGGAGCATAGCTAATCGTTTTTCTTGGTGTAATCTGAACCCATCAAAATAAAGCATGAAAGATGCATTTCAAAATGTTTCAATGTCTTCAAACAGTCTTAAAGGTCATATGTTGAGCCACAGTGTAAACTCTTAATTACCCAAAGGTCCTGGAGATAGCAAAAAGACGCACACTTTAATGTTTAAATGTTTCCGTCAACACACGAAATTATCATGACTACCCTAAGGGGATAAAACATTGAGACGCAGCCGCAGTTTCACCCTATTCGTTGATGCACACAAAGATGCACCGATAGATGGGCGCTTTAGAATAATTTCAGGAGTGAGACAGCTGGCGATCCTGCCGTTAAAGAACATTACGATTATCCTGCCGTTGAAAAATACTTAGGATATGAGTTTATATTAATACGTGGGGATCTACATCCCAAAGCCAAGAAATGATTATTAAGGAACCATAGCTAAGGGCTCCAGAAAGTTTGACCATCTGATGTTCTTTAAAGGGGCCTTGAAACACTTTTTTGAGTAACCATGGAATTGATTCACCAGAAAAGCGTTTTGTTTCACAATTTCAACAGCGCAAAAAATTTAAGAATCCGTCCAGTATGAGCGGAAATGCAAACGTTTGTCACACGCTACAATCGCATTCTCTCTTTTCTCGTCCCGACGAAAACGCTAGAAGCTAAACAGGGAGGGAAGGGAGGGGCAACAAAAAGACGTCACTCGCGCCTCGTGACCTTGCGCGTTTTTTTCTTTTTGTTTAGTTTGAATACGTGGCTTTGTCAGTGTGATCGCGCGCACACGCGTTCACAAGTGACGCCCTCTTGCGGCGACCTCTGTAAGAACCGAGCACGACATGTTCAAATCGGCCAATCGCTGATAGATGGGCTTACTACGAGTAATAGTCGGGCTTATTCCATGGTTTGTAGAGAAATGAGAAAGCTATTTTAAGCGGACTTTGATAATTCATAGTGAATTTCAGGGCGCGTGCTGTGCTATAATATTTGTCTTGCGTGTTGCAGGAAGCCTCTACTAATAATCGGCAGCGTTTTCTGACCATGTTTGAAAAGTGTTGCAGCGCCCCTTTACTTGTCCTGACATTGCCCAATACGTTGGCCTCTGAGGCCTCGCCTCCATTGAAATTCAACCAACGCGGCCGGGTTCGAACCCTCCGCCTTCGGGTTAGCAGCCGAGCACCCTAGTAATATCTTAGTGCCCAGAAGTGGACTGGGACATGAAATAAACATTATTTTAAATGCGAATAAATTTCTTAGTCGAGCTATGGTAGGCATCTGGTGTTGTCCGCGGCGTCCGCGCACCGGCATGTTTTCTCTTTGTTCTCACTCCCTCTCCCATAGCAACAGCTGTGGGCGCGCGCGTTTATCCTCGCGCCTAGCAACCGTAGCATGTGGTGTGAGGGAATGTAGGAGGGGTTAGGTGCAGTGCTTCGCCGCTACTTCTCTCAAGGTTCGCTCTCTCTCCTCCCTGCGCCCCACTCTCCCATCTGCTCGCGCTGCACTCTAGACCATTTGCAGCTGGACGCATCTCAAGAGCATCCGGGAATGTGTGCTCGAGACGCTGCTGTGAAGAGCGTTTTCTGCTGTTTATGAATGCGATTCATGGTAGTCAATTGTACTATTAGTGAAGTTTGGATTTCTGCGGTTGTGCGACAAGTCTAATTGTTTGAACAAAATAATAGAGGAGGGCACCCACCCACGCATAAATGACATGCTATATACGCATAAACGACATTATATATATATATATATATATATATATATATGGGTTTGTGTGTGTATATATATTGAAATATCACGGTTCAGCTGAGGCTTTATCCAAGCAACAGCAATATGGCGCCGATGATGAAGAGGCTGAAGCGAAGACTGGTGATGGTTATTGACAGATGAGGAAGATGAAGTCCAATGAATTCTTACACTAATTTCCCCTGTCGACGGAAGCGGCGAGCCTGGCCACGAACCACGCTGTGGAACGCATACGATAGGGCTTGAGACGCGAAACGTGCACAATCTCTGTCCCGCGGCAGCGTTGGTCAGTTGGGCATGAACAGGTGTGATACGGTAGTTCACCGGAGAGGTCTGTTCGACAACTTTGTAGGGTTCAAGACAGCGCTGCTCAAGCTTCTCGCATAAGCCAGGCGTTCGTGCAGGAGTCCACAGAAACACATCGTCGCCGGGGTGGTAGAGGACGACGTGATGAGGGGCATCGTAACGATGTTTCGGCTAGCTTCGCTATTTCAGTGTTTACACGGGCAAGACGATGACATTGAGTAAGACGGGACAGAAAGTGGTCGCAAATGAATGTTGAAGCGTTGATGAGGCCAGAAAAAAATTAAACACCGAGTGGTGATGTCGGTTGGCGTCCGTATGCTTGGAAAATAGCATGTGGTTCGTAGAACTGACGTGTTATATGCATACGTGACAAAGGGAAGAATGACATCCCAGTTGCGATGGTCTGTTTGGATATACATGGACAGCATGCCGCACAGCGTGCGATGAAATCTTTCCGTAAAGGCATTGGTTTGTGGGTGATAG